TATTGAATTATTACAAAATAAGTCCAATTTGAATATCACTCAATCATATATGTTGAACCATTAGAATTGCAAAACCTACTATCATATTTAATAGTTTACGAATTAGATTTCATGATTCTTAAAACTACATCTAAACCAACTATTACGAATTTAAAAACATTTATCGAACTCAAATTTAGTTAGATTATTTTAAACATCAAGTTATTTTTAATTCAAACAGGTGATGTTTCAAACCTCTAAACCAAGTCTGACCAAATGATCAAACTAAACAAAAAAAAAAACATATAAGCTTCTTAAAAATCACACTTTTCCTAAAATCTATATAAGTTACATTCTCTAATAGTTTGATTTGCTTGGTAGAATAATGTCCAAGTTTTTATTTTTATAGCATTAATTGATACACTAGAGAAAACAAAACTAAAATTAAAAATACATTTTATTGAAATTAACATTTTTTTTTCTAATGAAAATAAAATGACAAGAAATAAATTTATTTTTCCAATTAGGACTAGCCTCAACTTGGCTATTAACTGGTTTCACCTTGCTGATGGTAGCATCCATAAATTTATTGGTCTCTGAAATTCTAAAAAATGATTCTAGATGGACATGTATTCATGGTAATGTACCATAAGGTCATAGCTATAAAAAGGTTAACTTTGGAATCCAATTTGGCATCTGTGGAAGAATATCCTTTTATAAAAATAATAGCATGAAGAGTTTGTTCCTCCAACATGACTAGATCATCCCCCAACTATATTCAAATTAGATCCAACTCAAGATAGAAATATAAAATCAACTAATAACTGAGAATTCTATATTTGAATTATTCACAACCCCATCCATTTTTAAGCTGGCACCACCTCTACTATTACATTGTTGACTATGACTAAGAAGAAAAGAATAAACAAAGGAAGTCACAATATGCACTTGAGAAAAAAAGTACTTAAATTCATAGAGTGGAAGGTGATTACATGCTACCTGATACCTCTATACTTTTAGGTAACTATAAGTTTCGTGCTTTCTTGATAAAAAAAAGAACTAAAAGAAAGTATGATATTTCTATCCTTAAGGATTTTAAAAACATAAGTTAGGTGATTACAAAGTCAGTTTTTGTACCACACTCACCACTTGATTTGAAAACTTCCTCTTCTTATTTTGGTTAAATTATTTAAGATTCAAAGGAAGTACATGAGATAATCACATGGTTAAAAATCATTATACTTGTTTATTAGCCTTTGATTAAGGTTTGTACTAACACTTTATTACATTGATAATGGTTGAAGGCGCTAACTTAGCTTCTTTATCAATAGAGAAGAGGGTTTCAAAACCTAAGTGATAGTTTCATCTTCAACTATAAAAGCTAAAGGAAAATAAAAATTAATATTTAGAAAGTAGAAAAGCTTGAAAAGAAATAGTAGGACACATAGATTAAAAACAAAATGAAACATAAATAAAAATTGAATAACATAATATGAATGGTTATGACTAACACGAGCAATAAGGGTACGTTTAGGACGGTGGTGCAGTGTCGCACCTCAGTTTCTTCTGTTTGGCAAAATCGTGTTTCACCTGCATTCTTGAAACCCTACAGCTAAAAATTGTATTTTTCCAACACACTTGACTACCTAGGAAGTTACGATCTGAATTTTTTTAAAAAGATTCTTTATAACAGCCACCGTAACCTTTTTGAACAAAAGCTTCACAACTGTTTCTTCAAAAAGTTGCAACTACCCCAAATGGATCCTAAGGGGTATTTGATTACAATTATGCATTAAGAAAGTTAGTAGTTTATGAGGAAAAAAAAAAGACAACAAGTAAAAAAAAGGGAGCAGAAGCTACTTAAAATAATGAAAGCTGAGATAATCAGAAGTTAGCAGAGTTTGCTCAGCTTAATTTTGATGCATATATAGATGGCAAGAGAAATAATGAGATTTTATGTCATAAGGGCTAGCGTTTATCATAGAGAGAGTAATAAAAGGCAAATGGCATTCAAGATGATTCAATTGAGGGTGATGATCTAGACTTAATTTCTATTACACCAATTCAAATAAAAGAATAATTGTGTTTACATCATTTTTGATGTAATAGACATTTTAGAGACATATTTTAATCATTGTTAAAAATCTTGAGGGTGAGCTCATCGTCAAAACCTTATGGCAGGTAGTTTCAGTCTCATCTCTATCAGAGACATTATGCTTATGGAAACTAACCCAATTGAAGGAATTAGTGCCTTAGCACTGCCTTCCCAGTGCCCCAGAACTACTTTCATAATGTCATAATGTTATATATATGGCGCCTAAGAGCCAAGCTCCCTAATTTTAGAGTATTTACACAAGGTCATTACGCCCCTTTATGTTGCGCTCTCTATTTCAAGTGTATTTTTTTGTTTTTTGAAGTGACAAAGCGTTGCCTTTGTAGTTTCATGATATTGAGCTCTCTAGTCAATGAGAATTATTAGGTTGCCCCTAGTACCACGACACTCATGACAACACCATAATGTTAGAACAAAAATATAGGCAACCAATCTTGTCCATATGGCCTCACAATATAGGTTATTGGCTTCCCTTAGTTCTAGGGAGCCATGGAAAAGGTACATAGTCATTATGCATCCCAAACTTTTGTGTTGAATCAATAGTGGAATCAGAAAAACACTAATAAGCATTGTAGTGCTACTGTTTGTGTCAAAGACCATGTGCAACACTATCACCCATGTCATTAGCCATGAATGTCTTTATGGTTGGCACGACACAACTACATCGATACTGTCTCCAAAATAAGCAATGTATAAGCCCTCCTTTTGGATTGACTTATGGTTAGTTGTTCATATCTCTGGTTCCTTATCTATTTTCTTTGCCTCTCTGACCTTCCCCATTGGTTTTGTTCTCAACCTCCTCTTTCTCAGATGCTCTATCCTTAGTGTTCCCCTTTGGAGTTTTGCATAAAAATGGGAGGAATTTTGTTGGTGCCCCAACCTTTGTGAATCAAATGCTACATGCTGAGGATCATGACGTGTCAGAGACTGACGTCTACCCCACAATAGTATCTCGCCTCTCCTTATCTTTTTAAATCATTTTAGTGCCATCTGATTTCTTATAGAGAGAAAAATCATGGCACATGTGTGTAGAGAAAGCCTCTAGGGTACGTATTAACCCCTCTTCCACTACAATCCTTTAAGCATATTGGAAAAAAAAAAAATCAAACCAAAACCTTGGTGTTGTAGTGCCGCCTCAAGCGATGTCATAACTGCATGCTCTCTCTCGATCATTGCAATGTCTTAACACCACTTATAATAAGTCACGATGCTGGTTCTTTCGAGTAATCAACTTCATCTTCCATTGGTTCAGGTTTGTGCTATTGGAAGCACGAACTTGGGCAGGATTTTCCCTGAGTGGTGTTTTTTTTTTTTTTGAAAATTTATTTTCCTTTTTAGTTACACTTCATCTTATTGGTATATAGGTTTTACACCATTTATAAAGTGTAATGATCGTAGAACTCACTTCGCTTACAACCCAGTGAGAGACATAGATTAGAACCCTGAGTCGTACCATTGAATAATTTAGTTTTATTAAATTTTATTAAAAATCTAAAAAAATACATATAAGAGTAATGGTTAAGTTCTCACTTCATGCATTTTGCCACACATTTATCTTACTATTCAAGGCCGAAGATAGCCCAAAGCCTAGTCTATACATTTGTAATCCCTTGGCATTGTCCTCTATGATTTTTACTATGAAGGGTCTAGAGCCGCGAAACTACATCAATGATGCCACAACACAGTACCTTTGTCATTTGCGTTAATATCATTTGTTTTCATGTAGATGCATTATCTAAATCTTATAGAGTTATATCATTGTATGATATAGATTTCTCATTTGTTTGAAGATGCACATTGGACATTTAGTTTTGCATATTGCATGCATGACATACCCTTCTTGCCTCCCCTTTGTAAGTGACGTTAATTTACTATTTGGGTGAACCTACATATTATCTGCATATAGGTTTAGGTTAGAGTGTTGACACTTCAATGATTGGACTCATGTAGACCTAGAAGTTGACATGTTGTGGTAATATATTAATGCCCTTTGTCTATGAGCACATCTTGCCTATAAATATTCTAGGATGTCATAATGTATATTTAGACAATATATGAGTAAATTCTATAAATACACACGTTAACAACTCTTTAGTATCAATCAGTGATTACTTATAATTTTTAAATTTGCATTAATTCTTTTGTATTTGTTTGTTCTTGACCGTGGATTTTAGGTGATATTTTTTATAGTCTTTAATTTTTTTTTGGGAATTCTACACTAGACTGTGAATATACACAATCTTCTATCGGAAGTCATGTCCAAAATGGGAAAGCATAAACTTAAATATGACTGCTTATTTGAAGGTGCTAGCTATGCCATTCTTTATCTTTACAAGATGCATTTGTGTTGCATGTCTTATGTATGTGAGCTAACCTCTATTCTATTGGGCTTTGAGTCATTACTTCTATGCTTTTTATATATAATTTGAGAGTTTTGGAAGAGTGTATTAAAAACATGGTATGGTCAAAACTTCTTTAGGTGCTTGTGGACCATGACCATATTCAAATGACATTTAGGGTCTGTTTGGGGTAGCTTATAAGTGCGAACCGTTTGGTTTGCACTTTTCGCCAGTTTATTCGAAATTGCGTTTGGGTTTTTACACTAAACACAGGCCGTGGGTCCACCCCGCGGCCGATCTGCGGGCCACGTTTCAGGATAAACAGCTTATCCTAAAACGCACAAGCTGCCCCAAACGGACCCTCAGTGGCAGATCACTCATGTTTTGTATCTTAATTTTAAAATCTCCATTTCTTATATAGATCTATAAATTGAGCTGTAAATGTGAAAAAAAAAAGATAAAACCATAAGCTTGTCCATCAATAATAAAGAGCAAAGGTGATACTGAACAGTAAATTTTATCTATCTCATAAAAGACATTTATTTGACCAATCACAAGAATGTTCCGTGTTTTTAAAAATTAACATCAAATCTGGAAGGAGGTTGGTGGTCAACTTCCTCCTCAGTCGAATTACTCTTCACCTGAGAGGAATCCAACGCCACATTCAGTTTCAGTTCGCTCATTCTATCTATGCGAGAGCAATTACCCACGAGTTCGCCATATGAAAAATATCACTACAAACAAAAAGAAAATAAGAAGTGATATAATACATTTTTCAGCTTCCATTTTCTAGAAATATATACTTTTTATACCATCTAATCCACATGTGCACTGAAGGTGCAAGATATTAGGTGAGCCACATGATACACTATCATTGACTGGTGTAAGCAAAGACTCTAATCACTTCACAGTAGGATCATGAAACACTGAAGTTGAACCTAAAATCACACACGACAAATCCATGTCCATGATCGGTATCCCAAGAAAAGCACCAAAATATTGCTTCATTCAACATCCTTTTCTTCCTTTTCGGACCGCCTTCTCGCTTGCGCTTCCCAAATAGACCCTCTGATAGTTCAGAGGTGGGGATGTTATTGTAATCTTCTGTAATGTTCTCCATCTGAATTAATTAAAGCAACGAAACATTAAAAGCAAAAGTGAAGATAGAAAACAGAATGTAGGAGTATGAATTGGTTGGCAACTTATCACCTTATTTATAAAAAGTGAAGGGCCCAAACATCAAGGGAGTAATTCAGACATCATAAATATCATTAAATAAATGATGCATTATTAACTCGTCGAAAAGCTAATATTTTTATTATCTCTTATTCTTTTTTGCAGCTCCGCTGCACCAAGAGATGAATCAAAAAAATAAATATGAATGCTAAAATACACTCATATTATACTTATAATGTGTGTCAAGATAAACTTTTCGGGTTTCCCAGCTCAATTCATCGAGCATGATCAATGGGCTGTCGAGTACAAGCTATTGAGTACAGACAACCAAACAAATGTTTCCCTTCATTGGTCAGGTTCAAGGAGTCTGTTCAACCATGCAACCCGGAATCATTCTATAACATCAGCTCAATCTTACCAAAGAAGATCCAACTCACTTGGAGGCTGAATTAGCCTTGAGGCAAACTATTACAAAGTCCTAACAGACTTGAGGGATGTCACTCGATGAGTGAAAGGAATAGAAAGGGGTTAGGAATAATGTGCTACAGGTAATATTAATCATATGCCAAAATCAGAAAAAGATAAGAAAATAGCCAAAGATTCCTATAGATATGTACATAATGATCACTTCAAAAAAAAAACAACAGGAAAAGCAAAATATCAATGGTCATGTCATAGTTACAAAATAAAGGGGGCCCTCAAGTAAGGGAAAGGGAGAGTATTTCCATGAAGCAAAAAATTCAGAGGAGGAGGAGAAAGACTACAAAAATGTTTCCTAGAAGAAACACCGGCTCTGCCAAGCAAATAAGTAGGCCTGTTAGCTTCTCCAATAGTATGAATCAATTTGATTTGACAGCTCCTACTAATACAAACAATTTAATTCACAGTGGATTTGATATATCATGGAATGGAAGAGAAACCTAAGAGACATTTCCATAAAACCGGAGAATCCATCATAACAACCAACAACATCCATCCAACAGCTTTGGCGAGTTTAAGGGCAGCAAGTGTTGCTTCAGCTTCAGCAGAAAGGTGTGAACTAACAGTGGATGGAGAAGAGAACCAAAGTAACAATTTACCAGTATAATCCCTGTAGACAGCCGCCAAACCAGTAGTCTAATTGAAGCTACCATTAACATTAATTATAACCCAACTCTTATCAGGTTTGATCCTGTAAAATCAGTTTAGGAATATAATCCTTCTTGCTTCTATGTACGTAATGATCATTTGAGTATATTATATAGAAAAATTCCCTTATATAAGGGGGAAAAATTATGTAATGGAGGAAGCATATTTTGATCTAGGAAAATGGTGTAACCAAATTTCTTCCAAGTAAATACAACAACCCACCCTCTTCACCCTGTTTTTTCCTTCTTCCCTAGTTCTTCACCTGAGGTATAAATCTATGTATAGATCACGATTCAAAAAAGTTTTGGAATGCCCTAAACGAAGTACTAAATTTGTTACAAAATAAAACACATGAAATAACATTTGGACCTCGCAATTACCATTGTAATAATGTCCTTATAATAGATAACATTTTCATTTTCTAGAAAATAAATCAAACTATATTAAAATATGCCAATGTTTTGGCCCCAAGGCTTCATATACCAACCCAATTTCTCTGAAGTTGAGTCCAAGTCTAACTATTAAAATAGTAGCATAATAAATTGGTAATGTATTTTAGAATCATCACTCAAGCATTAAAAAATTGAAATGCTCTAAAAATAAATGGCATAGATAGTGAACAAGACTTCTACCCTTTCTAGTCTAGACATTTGCAATTACCAGAAATCAAAATGCTTGATGAAAAATCCTAAAGATGGCACATTCATTTTTGTTCATTTCTCCATATGCTTGATAAATGGGATGATAAACATCATGCAAGCTACCACTTGTCTTTACCCATAACCACGAACATACCAAGCATAGAAGAAGACTAAAATTTAACTTCCGACCCCCAAAAGTCTCTTAACCACAAATTCACATAACATAAAATGTTATTCCTCCATGTTTTCTATGATTAGTTTTGATTTATACTTAGGTTATATAGTAGATTCATTTTAAATAAATAGTAGCTTATATTAGGTTACTAAATCATGAATGAAAGAAGATAATTTGAAGTTAGAAAAAAAGGTCGTACCACTCCCCGACCCATACCCTTTCTATGCTCTCTCAAAAAACCAGCCTATCACTTTATCTCTTTAACTAGAAAATCTGCCTCCACTTGCACTCTTTTTTCTATTGAATTGCATCAGAGTAAGGGAGCTAAAATAAATAGAAGAAGTGCTAAGGGATCCATCTGAAGGAGAATAAAGACGAGGTTAGTAAGTCTAGGGCTTACTACTGTTTGATGCTTTCATACAATACTTCTCCAACGTGTTTCAAAGCTTTCTGTCCCACATGCTCACTGCAAAAATTCTCCACTAAACCATTGGATGAAGCCATGTAAGGGGTACTCTTGTTGTGTTGATTGCAAGCGTCCCACCAAGAAGGCAACATAGAAACCGTAAAATAAAAATATATCAAAGAACCAAAACCTTCTAAGAATCAAGGTCAGAATTATAGTTCTTGATGCTAAAAAACACTGCCGTTGCCGGTCCCAAGCCCGGATGAGAAAAGTGGAGGGTTGCGTTAGGTAGTCGACAACCAGCGTAAAACTTGTTGAAAAAAATCATGACATGAATCCTTTTGATCATTGTGTAAATGCTAGGGCGTCCCCTGGAAGCGACGCGCTGTATAGCCTGAATACAGTGAAAAGTGTGCAAGGGCCGCTACACCGGCGCCCGGGTGTAGTGTTAAATAAGCAAGGGTTCCCACATTACGGGCGAATGAGGGTAAAGAAGTTAGTCCATGAAACTAATGAAACTAATATTAGGATAGGATCTTGGAATATAGGCACTCTCAATGGTAAATTAATGGAATTAGTTGATATTATGATTCATAGGAAAATTAATATCTTATGTATTCAAGAAACTAAGTGGGTGGGAGAAAAGACTAAGGAGATTGATAATTTAGGTTTTAAACTTTGGTATTCTGGTAAGAGTCGCACTA